CTGCAGCTCACTGTGCAGCTATGTAAGCAGCCATTAATGAACAAATGAACAGTCTTCTTAACTGTCACATATGAACCATTTAAAAATGCCCTCTTATTTTTACAGCATGAGCACCTCGGATTATGTGTTGGTGGGAGACCACAATCTGTACTCATCAAGTGATGCCAATTCTCAGTGGATGCAAATTGCTGAAGTAAGTGAAATGTCCTCACTTCATCATGGAACAAAACCATCAGCGGATTTTGTGTTTGTGGATTGATTTGTAAATATTTTTCTAGACCTATATGTATACAAACGAAAACAAATACCAAACAAGTGAAATAGATTATTATAATACGCATCCTTTCCAACAGATTGTGAGTCATCCGTCCTATGATTCAAATACACTGGACAACGACATTGCCCTCATCAGACTTACCACAGAAATACAGTTCCCATCTGACAACAAAATCGCCCCTGTGTGCCTTCCAACAGCTGGTGAAATGTATGATAATGTGGATGCCACAATCACCGGATGGGGAGCTCAACAGGAGGGTGGGTACTGATATTCGCGGTATATTCTTTATTTTCGCTTATCATCATAGAACAACAAACAAGAATCCACCTGCACTGACTCATACAATATATTTAACAGGAGGATCCACATCCGGTACCTTGTTCGAAGTAACAGTGCCCACCATGACTAACACCGAATGCAATAACAAATATGGAGGAAGCATTACTGACAACATGATCTGCGCAGGCATTCCTGAGGGAGGCAAGGACTCCTGTCAGGTATGTTTATTCTATAAAATATAAGTACTACTTGTTTTATCTGCATGCATAGCATTCCTTTCGATATATTCTACACAATATATCTGAATGTTACAGGGAGACTCTGGAGGACCAATGGTGGTGGAAGAAAACGGCAAGTGGAAACTGGTGGGAGTTGTATCGTGGGGATATGGCTGTGCTCGACCTGATAGGCCCGGAGTCTATGCCAGAGTTACACGTGAGTAAATTGCGGTTAGCTATTGAAGCCATGCAGTTCATTAAAAACTCTCATGAAATATGTATCTAGGTATATCAAGGCTCCTACATGTGAAAGATACCCAACTGAAGCTTTTCAGTTTTTTCCTGGAAGGGATCTTGTAGCGTGTTGGCTGTTTATGACTGACATATTGCGATGCCATCAATGTTGTTTCTCTTATGTCATGAGTGACAGTTCTGTGATACCACAGAAGCAGTAAGTCAATCATAGTTAATTATAAAAAAAACAGTGTATAAGGACAAACTGTTCCTTCAAATTTAAACAAAGTCTGTTCTTGGTCAAGGGCCAGTTAAGCAGAAATTGAATCACTTTGTTAAAAGATTTTTGATATATGTCTAAGGTTGTAGTCATAAACACATGTACCCATATTCATGAATGAAAGCCTTACAGACAATAACTTTAATTTTTCTATAATTAGTCTGTACACCACATATGAAAAGAAAGTGAGAATTTGTGTTCTTGCTTGGAATAGGTTGATATATTTTTCGTCATTCCTTGCATGTATGATCAAATAATCATTTTTTTTTCATCAGAATATTTGCAATGGATTTCTGACTCTACAACCGGTGTCTGTGTTGATGGAAACACACCTGCTCCTACTAATGCCCCGACGCCCGCTCCTACTCCTGCACCCACGCCTGCCCCTACATCTGCTCCCAGTTCTGACTGCCGTACGTAAAGATAAAAAAATCTGTATTAATCTACTAAGTACCATAACACTAGGAAATCAAATATTATATCATCATGAAGGCATTCCTTACAAATACAAACGACATATCAGTCTTCAGCATTGATGAACTAGCAGAAAACCCAATAGACACTAAGGGAGTTTGATGGACAGACAATTTTTCTATTATTTTCAAGCTGTCTTATCTTCTGTGAAACTGGTTTTGTGTTTCTTTTTATAAAAACAATCACTTGTACATCCACAGCTGGATGTGGACAAGTGAACCGTGCCAACCGCATTGTTGGTGGAGTAGAGACGGAGGTGAACGAATATCCCTGGATGGTTTCTCTTGTCAATGGCAATGGATACTATCACTTCTGTGGCGGTTCTATCATCTCCAGCCAATGGGTCGTCACTGCAGCTCACTGTGCAGCTGTGTAAGTAGCTCTTGGTAATAATAATAATAATAAAACTCTTACAGTCACATGCATGTTTCATTTAATATTATTTTTGCAGCATGAGCACCTCGGATTATGTGTTGGTGGGAGACCACAACCTGTACTCATCAAGTGATGCCAATTCTCAGTGGATGCAGATTGCTGAAGTAAGTGAAATGTCCCCACTTCATCATAGAACAAAATCATTGAATTCATTCCTAAATATTTTATAAACATATATACAAAAGTAAACAAGTACCAAACAAGTGATATAAACAATTAGTGAAAAAAAACATGCATCCTTCCGAACAGATTGTGAGTCATCCGTCCTATGATTCTAATACACTGGACAACGACATTGCCCTCATCAGACTCACCACAGAAATACAGTTCCCATCTGACAACAAAATCGCCCCTGTGTGCCTTCCAACAGCTGGTGAAATGTATGATAATGTAGATGCCACAATCACAGGATGGGGAGCCCAACAGGAGGGTGGGTACTGATATTCGCGATATTTGTATATATTTTGTATTATGTTATAGAAAGAAAGAAAAGAAAAGAAAAGAAAGAAAGAAAGAAAAAAAACTGCCCGCATTCTCATACAATACATTTAACAGGAGGATCTACATCCGGTACCTTGTTCGAAGTAACAGTGCCCACCATGACTAACACCGAATGCAATAACAAGTATGGAGGAAGCATCACTGACAACATGATCTGCGCAGGCATTCCTGAGGGAGGCAAGGACTCCTGTCAGGTATGTTTATTCTCCCTTTCTATATAAATACTACTTGTTTTGCCTGCATGCATGGCATTCGTTTCGATATATTCTACACAATATATCTGGATGTTACAGGGAGACTCTGGTGGACCAATGGTGGTGGAAGAAAACGGCAAGTGGAAGCTGGTGGGAGTTGTGTCGTGGGGATATGGCTGTGCTCGACCTGATAGGCCCGGAGTTTATGCAAGAGTTACACGTGAGTAAATTGTAGTTTACTAATGAAACAAGTTGTACAGTTCAATAACCCAACTCAACTCAAGCTTTCCATGAAAGAAAACTATATTTTACCTGTGAGCTACACTAGCATGTTACCTGTTTATGACTGACAGTTTGCCCTACCATCGATGTGGTTTCTCTTCCATTATGAACAATAGTCAAAGTCATTTAAAAGACATAGTGTATAGGGATCAATTGTGCCTTCAAATCTAAACAAAGTTTGTGCTTGGTCAAGGGTCAGTTAAGCAAAGATGGAATCACTCTACCCACTGACTACGTATTTATGTACTCTGAATTTGTATGTACATGTACTCAGTCAACAAGGAGTGTATCAGTAGATCCTAGTGATCACTCCTAATTCCCGAATTCCTTAAAACTGCGGGAAAATATGTATTAATATTGATACTGTTATTATTCTTATTGATATTTTGATAATTAAATTGTTATTAAAATCTTGGTAACATTAAAGAGATAGGTAGCAGTAATTGACTCGTTGGTGAATAAGCACTCATAGAGCCATCAGTGTGTAAATACAATAAATGAACTTATATTATAGTGGACATGACATTCATTCTTGCCATCCGTGCTGATTGGAATCTTTAATACATGTCTAGGGCTGTAGTCATTAACACATGCATCTGTATTCATAAATGAAAGCATTACAATATTTTTTGTCTGTCACCATATATGAAAAGAATGTGAGAATTTATGTTCTTGCTATTAATATGTTCATTTTCCAAAATTCCTTGTCCGTATGAACAAATAAATATTTTTTTTCGTCAGAATATTTGCAATGGATTTCTGACTCTACAACCGGTGTCTGTCTCGATGGGAACACACCTGCTCCAACCAATGCCCCGACGCCTGCTCCTACTCCTGCACCCACGCCTGCCCCTACGTCTGCTCCCAATTCTGACTGCCGTACGTAAAAATAAGAAAATCTGTATTAATCTACAAAGTACCATACTAATATCTATCTATCTATCTACATAAAAACTTAAAGAAATATATCTAAATAAAACATTCCTTACAAACGCAAACGACATATCAGTCTTGAACCTTGATGAACTAAAAAAAACAAAACCAAGAGATACTAAGAAAGTTGATGTCAGACAATTTTTGAAGTGTCAAGTACTCCATTTTCAATAGAGTACTTGGAATACGAAATTGGTTTTGCGGCTTTCTTGTTATAGAGGTAATTATTTGTTCATCCACAGCTGGATGTGGACAAGTGAACCGTGCCAACCGCATTGTTGGTGGAGTAGAGACGGAGGTGAACGAATATCCCTGGATGGTTTCTCTTGTCAACGGAAATGGATACTATCACTTCTGTGGCGGTTCTATCATCTCCAGCCAATGGGTCGTCACTGCAGCTCACTGTGCAGCTGTGTAAGTAGTTATCCATGAGGAATCATTCATCTCTACCTAGAATGCATTTTTTTTTCTAAATTTTCCTTATATTTACAGCATGAGCACCTCGGATTACGTGTTGGTGGGAGACCACAATCTGTATTCATCAAGTGATGCCAATTCTCAGTGGATGCAGATTGCTGAAGTAAGTGGAACGTCCTCACTTCATCACAGAACATTAAATAAGTGACACGATTTGTAAAAGCATATTGCTTTAAGATCTATATTTACAAAAAGTCACCAAACAAATGAAATAAATAACTAATACGCATCCATTCGAACAGATTGTGAGTCATCCGTCCTATAATTCTAATACACTGGACAACGACATTGCCCTCATCAGACTCACCACAGAAATACAGTTCCCATCTGACAACAAAATCGCCCCTGTGTGCCTTCCAACTGCTGGTGAAATGTATGATAATGTGGATGCCACAATCACAGGATGGGGAGCTCAACAGGAGGGTGGGTACTGATGTTCTTGATAAGGTTTTTATTAAAATAAATCTTTACGTTTTCTGTTATGATAGAGAAAAATGAAGAATCCACTTGCATTGACTCATATATGCATTCAACAGGAGGTTCCACATCAGGCACCTTGTTCGAAGTTACAGTGCCCACCATGACTAACACCGAATGCAATAACAAGTATGGAGGAAGCATCACTGACAACATGATCTGCGCAGGCATTCCTGAGGGAGGCAAGGACTCCTGTCAGGTATGTTCTCCCTTTCTTTAAGATGTAAATACTAATTATGTTATCTGCATGCATGCCATTCCTTTCGATATATTCTACACAATATATCTGAATGTTACAGGGAGACTCTGGAGGACCAATGGTGGTGGAAGAAAACGGCAAGTGGAAGCTGGTGGGAGTTGTGTCGTGGGGTTATGGCTGTGCTCGACCTGAAAGGCCCGGAGTTTATGCAAGAGTTACACGTGAGTAAATTGTAGTTAACTAATGAATCAAGTCGTACAGTTCAATAACCCAACGCAACTCAAGGTTTCCATAAAAGAAAACTATATTTTACCTGTGAGCTACACTAGCACGTTACCTGTTTATGACTGACAGTTTGCCATACCATCGATGTCGTTTCTCTTCCATTATGAACAATAGTCAAAATCATAAAAAAAGACATAGTGTATAGGGATCAATTGTGCCTTCAAATCTAAACAAAGTTTGTGCTTGGTCAAGGGTCAGTTAAGCAAAGATGGAATCACGCTGTTTACTCACTGACTACGGATTTATGTACTCTGAATTTGGTTACATACAGATGGCTCCACATGTACTCAGTCAACAAGGAGTGCAGCGGTAGATCCTAGTGATCACTCCTAATTCCCGAATTCCTTAAAACTGCGGGAAAATATGTATTAATATCGATACTGTTATTATTCTTATTGATATTTTGATAATTAAATTGTTATTAAAATCTTGGTAACATTAAAGACAGTGAAATGATACAAAAGAAACAGTCCAAAAATTAAGGAAAAGAATAAGTAGGTGAGATAGGTAGCAGTAATTGATTCTTTGGTGAATAAGCACTCATAGAGCCATCAGTGTGTAAATACAATAAATGAACTTATATTATAGTGGACATGACATTCATTCTTGCCATCCGTGCTGATTGGAATCTTTAATACATGTCTAGGGCTATAGTCATTAACACATGCATCTGTATTCATAAACGAAAGCATTACAGTATTTTTTGTCTGTCACCATATATGAAAAGAATGTGAGAATTTATGTTCTTGCTATTAATATGTTGATATATTTTCCAAAATGCCTTGTCCGTATGAACAAATAAATATTTTTTTCGTCAGAATATTTGCAATGGATTTCTGACTCTACAACCGGTGTCTGTGTCGATGGGAACACACCTGCTCCAACTAATGCCCCGACGCCTGCTCCTACTCCTGCACCCACGCCTGCCCCTACGTCTGCTCCCAATTCTGACTGCCGTACGTAAAAATAAAATCTGTATTAATTTACAAAGTACCATACTAATAGATATATATCTATCTATCTACATAAAAACTTAAAGAAATATATCTAAATAAAACATTCCTTACAAACGCAAACGACATATCAGTCTTCAACCTTGATGAACTAAAAAAAACAAAACCAAGAGATACTAAGAAAGTTGATGTCAGACAATTTTTGAAGTGTCAAGTACTCCATTTTCAATAGAGTACTTGGAATACGAAATTGGTTTTGCGGCTTTCTTGTTATAGAGGTAATTATTTGTTCATCCACAGCTGGATGTGGACAAGTGAACCGTGCCAACCGCATTGTTGGTGGAGTAGAGACGGAGGTGAACGAATATCCCTGGATGGTTTCTCTTGTCAACGGAAATGGATACTATCACTTCTGTGGCGGTTCTATCATCTCCAGCCAATGGGTCGTCACTGCAGCTCACTGTGCAGCTGTGTAAGTAGTTATCCATGAGGAATCATTCATCTCTACCTAGAATGCATTTTTTTTTTCTAAATTTTCCTCTTATATTTACAGCATGAGCACATCGGATTACGTGTTGGTGGGAGATCACAATCTGTATTCATCAAGTGATGCCAATTCTCAGTGGATGCAGATTGCTGAAGTAAGTGGAACGTCCTCACTTCATCACAGAACATTAAATAAGTGACACGATTTGTAAAAGCATATTCTTTTAGATCTATATTTACAAAAAGTCACCAAACAAATGAAATAAATATCTAATACGCATCCCTTCGAACAGATTGTGAGTCATCCGTCCTATAATTCTAATACACTGGACAACGACATTGCCCTCATCAGACTCACCACAGAAATACAGTTCCCATCTGACAACAAAATCGCCCCTGTGTGCCTTCCAACTGCTGGTGATATGTATGATAATGTGGATGCCACAATCACAGGATGGGGAGCTCAACAGGAGGGTGGGTATTGATGTTCTTGATAAGATTTTTATTAAAATAAATCTTTACGTTTTCTTTTATGATAGAGAAAAATGAAGAATCCATTTGCATTGACTTATATATGCATTCAACAGGAGGTTCCACATCAGGCACCTTATTCGAAGTTACAGTGCCCACCATGACAAACACCGAATGCAATAACAAGTATGGAGGAAGCATCACTGACAACATGATCTGCGCAGGCATTCCTGAGGGAGGCAAGGACTCCTGTCAGGTATGTTCTCCCTTTCTTTAAGATGTAAATACTAATTATGTTATCTGCATGCATGCCATTCCCTTCGATATATTCTACACAATATATCTGAATGTTACAGGGAGACTCTGGAGGACCAATGGTGGTGGAAGAAAACGGCAAGTGGAAGCTGGTGGGAGTTGTGTCGTGGGGTTATGGCTGTGCTCGACCTGAAAGGCCCGGAGTTTATGCAAGAGTTACACGTGAGTAAATTGTAGTTAACTAATAAATCAAGTTGTACAGTTCAATAACCCAACGCAACTCAAGATTTCCATGAAAGAAAACTATATTTTACCTGTGAGCTACACTAGCACGTTACCTGTTTATGACTGACAGTTTGCCATACCATCGATGTCGTTTCTCTTCCATTATGAACAATAGTCAAAATCATAAAAAAGACATAGTGTATAGGGATCAATTGTGCCTTCAAATCTAAACAAAGTTTGTGCTTGGTCAAGGGTCAGTTAAGCAAAGATGGAATCACGCTGTTTACTCACTGACTACGGATTTATGTACTCTGAATTTGGTTACATACAGATGGCTCCACATGTACTCAGTCAACAAGGAGTGCAGCGGTAGATCCTAGTGATCACTCCTAATTCCCGAATTCCTTAAAACTGCGGGAAAATATGTATTAATATCGATACTGTTATTATTCTTATTGATATTTTGATAATTAAATTGTTATTAAAATCTTGGTAACATTAAAGACAGTGAAATGATACAAAAGAAACAGTCCAAAAATTAAGGAAAAGAATAAGTAGGTGAGATAGATAGCAGTAATTGATTCCTTGGTGAATAAGCACTCATAGAGCCATCAGTGTGTAAATACAATAAATGAACTTATATTATAGTGGACATGACATTCATTCTTGCCATCCGTGCTGATTGGAATCTTTAATACATGTCTAGGGCTATAGTCATTAACACATGCATCTGTATTCATAAATGAAAGCATTACAGTATTTTTTGTCTGTCACCATATATGAAAAGAATGTGAGAATTTATGTTCTTGCTATTAATATGTTGATATATTTTCCAAAATGCCTTGTCCGTATGAACAAATAAATATTTTTTTCGTCAGAATATTTGCAATGGATTTCTGACTCTACAACCGGTGTTTGTGTCGATGGGAACACACCTGCTCCAACCAATGCCCCGACGCCTGCTCCTACTCCTGCACCCACGCCTGCCCCTACGTCTGCTCCCAATTCTGACTGCCGTACGTAAAAATAAGAAAATCTGTATTAATCTACAAAGTACCATACTAATAGCTATATATCTATCTATCTACATAAAAAACTTAAAGAAATATATCTAAATAAAACATTCCTTACAAACGCAAACGACATATCAGTCTTCAACCTTGATGAACTAAAAAAAACAAAAAAACAAGAGATACTAAGAAAGTTGATGTCAGACAATTTTTGAAGTGTCAAGTACTCCATTTTCAATAGAGTACTTGGAATACGAAATTGGTTTTGCGGCTTTCTTGTTATAGAGGTAATTATTTGTTCATCCACAGCTGGATGTGGACAAGTGAACCGTGCCAACCGCATTGTTGGTGGAGTAGAGACGGAGGTGAACGAATATCCCTGGATGGTTTCTCTTGTCAACGGAAATGGATACTATCACTTCTGTGGCGGTTCTATCATCTCCAGCCAATGGGTCGTCACTGCAGCTCACTGTGCAGCTGTGTAAGTAGTTATCCATGAGGAATCATTCATCTCTACCTAGAATGCATTTTTTTTTCTAAATTTTCCTCTTATATTTACAGCATGAGCACCTCGGATTACGTGTTGGTGGGAGACCACAATCTGTATTCATCAAGTGATGCCAATTCTCAGTGGATGCAGATTGCTGAAGTAAGTGGAACGTCCTCACTTCATCACAGAACATTAAATAAGTGACACGATTTGTAAAAGCATATTGTTTAAGATCTATATTTACAAAAAGTCACCAAACAAATGAAATAAATAACTAATACGCATCCATTCGAACAGATTGTGAGTCATCCGTCCTATAATTCTAATACACTGGACAACGACATTGCCCTCATCAGACTCACCACAGAAATACAGTTCCCATCTGACAACAAAATCGCCCCTGTGTGCCTTCCAACTGCTGGTGAAATGTATGATAATGTGGATGCCACAATCACAGGATGGGGAGCTCAACAGGAGGGTGGGTACTGATGTTCTTGATAAGGTTTTTATTAAAATAAATCTTTACGTTTTCTGTTATGATAGAGAAAAATGAAGAATCCACTTGCATTGACTCATATATGCATTCAACAGGAGGTTCCACATCAGGCACCTTGTTCGAAGTTACAGTGCCCACCATGACTAACACCGAATGCAATAACAAGTATGGAGGAAGCATCACTGACAACATGATCTGCGCAGGCATTCCTGAGGGAGGCAAGGACTCCTGTCAGGTATGTTCTCCCTTTCTTTAAGATGTAAATACTAATTATGTTATCTGCATGCATGCCATTCCTTTCGATATATTCTACACAATATATCTGAATGTCACAGGGAGACTCTGGAGGACCAATGGTGGTGGAAGAAAACGGCAAGTGGAAGCTGGTGGGAGTTGTGTCGTGGGGTTATGGCTGTGCTCGACCTGATAGGCCTGGAGTCTACGCGAGAGTTACTCGTGAGTAAATTGTGGTTGGCCATTCAATCCATGCAGTTCAATAACTCTCTCATGAGATATCGATGTATTTTACGTCATGAGTAATAGCTGTCTGACTTGTTTTTTCATCAGAATATTTGCAATGGATTTCTGACTCTACAACCGGTGTCTGTGTTGATGGGAACGCACCTGCTCCTACTAATGCCCCGACGCCTGATCCTACTTCTGATTCTGACTGCCGTATGTAAAAATAATGTCTATATTAATCTACAAAATACCATGCTACTAGAAAAAAATCTACAGAGGCATTTGTTGCAAATATGAACATATCAGTCTAGCTTGTTGATGAATTAGCAGAAAATCCACTAGGCACTAAAGTTGACTGATGTAACTTGATGGATCGACAATTTCTGGTGTGCAATATTCCATTTTCAAAATGTCTTATTTTTACGAAAGTGGTTTTGAGTGTTTTATGTTATACAGACAATCACTTGTACATCTACAGCTGGATGTGGACAAGTGAACCGTGCCAACCGCATTGTTGGTGGAGTAGAGACGGAGGTGAACGAATATCCCTGGATGGTTTCTCTTGTCAACGGCAATGGATACTATCACTTCTGTGGCGGCTCTATCATCTCCAGCCAATGGGTCGTCACTGCAGCTCACTGTGCAGCTGTGTAAGTAGCTATTAATAGAGAAAGAAAGAAAGAAAGAAAAAACATTCTACTCTGAAATGTACAAAAAATCTATTATATTTACAGCATGAGCACCTCGGATTATGTATTGGTGGGAGACCACAACTTGTACTCATCAACCGATGCCAATTCTCAGTGGAAGCAAATTGCTGAAGTAAGTGAAATGTTCTCAGTTTATCACAGACATTGTAAAAAAGTGAATCGATTTATAAATATTTTTCTAGACTTATATTTTCAAGAAAAAACAACTATCAAACAAGTGAAATTAACAAATGTAATATACATTCAACAGATTGTGAGTCATCCGTCCTATGATTCTAATACACTGGACAACGACATTGCCCTTATCAGACTCACCACAGAAATACAGTTCCCATCTGACAACAAAATCGCCCCTGTGTGCCTTCCAACAGCTGGTGAAATGTATGATAATGTGGATGCCACAATCACAGGATGGGGAGCTCAACAAGAGGGTTAGTATTGATTTCTGTTCCAAATTTATTTTCAGTATGTAAGTTATGTGAGAGTAGAACAAAAGTAAGGATTGATTTGCATATATACATTCAATGCATTTGACAGGAGGATCCACATCCGGCACCTTGTTCGAAGTAACGGTACCCACCATGACTAACAATGAATGCAATAGCAAGTATGGTGGAAGCATCACTGCCAATATGATCTGCGCAGGCATTTCTGAGGGAGGCAAGGACTCCTGCCAGGTATGTTCATTCTTCATCCTTTCTTTTTAAAGATACAAATTGAACTTGTCTATTTTGATACATGACATTCCTTTCAATATATTTTACACAATATATCTGAATGTTACAGGGAGACTCTGGTGGACCAATGGTGGTGGAAGAAAACGGCAAGTGGAAGCTGGTGGGAGTTGTGTCGTGGGGATATGGCTGTGCTCGACCTGATAGGCCCGGAGTCTACGCCAGAGTTACACGTTAGTGTTCAGCAGTTACTTTTAGAACTGGCAAGCAGTTTTCAATAAGGCGCTAAAAACTTAAATCAATTAGAAATGACGAGGTTCTTTATTTCTGATACTTTGTAATGATTAATCTTTTGTGGCAAGTTGGATATTTTACGGGAAATGCTAACAAACGGTTCTGTTTCCTTCTCTTCAGAATACCTTGATTGGATTTCGACCTCGACCGGAGGTGTCTGTCCGGCGGCTGGTTAATCCGTCCATTGAATAGGCTAATAGAAGCCTAAGCTGGTCCTTAGACGGCTTAGACAAGGAGTTGAGTTGCGGATATACTACCTTTATTACTTTCTTTCACGTTTTCTTTCATTTGGCACATTTAAGAAAAAAAAAACCTTTTTTGAAATAACTAAAATATCCGGAAGTGACAATAAATTGAGTATATTTCGATTTGTTTTAGTGATCGTCCATACCACAAGCACCTATTGCCGTCTTTGGTAGCGTACGAAGTCCGTGATAGGAGTTCTATTTCATACATCCACTGACCCCTTTGCCTTTGGGTCTCAAGAGTGTTCATACCTTATTAAATGTTCTTTTGTTTGGAAACAAAGACAAAACATTTATTTTTAACCATGTACAGTAACCACAACGAGCGTGAAACATAAATCGGCCCGCATTTATTTTTGTATTGTTTTCATAAAACTGTATTAATTTTCATTCACACTATGGAGGGAGCTTCTTACCCTGATAATACCATTACACTCATCTTCCTATTGCAGTAACGACCTTGTTTTTTTCGACATATGTTCATATTTATTTAGCTCAATTAATATTAGAATTCATAATATTCATTGCTATCAAAGCTATATTACATGTTCAGATTTCTGAGACATACACTATTCACAATATACAAGATCACATGTGTTTGAAAGGAAAGTTTACAAATATTCCAAAACGAAAAAAAAATCATGGTTCATTATTATCTCGATACAGAATGATCTTGAAATATATTCAATACATTACTGTAGGGAAATATAAGCACAACCAGGCTGTACTGTACACTAGAAATGAGGGTAGGCCTCTAGTAACGAATTTCAATTTGGAAGTTTGGAGCTTAAACGATAAAGTAAAATAGCACAACGCATTGCTGAAACCCTGAACGCCTTTCCTAGCTGATATCCAACGCGTTTGTACTTTCCTTGTACTACCAATGCCGGCTAATGTTAATCAACATTTGCATTCCCCAACGTGTAATGTTGATTAATGAAGTTATTTTTGCAGAGCACAATATATCAGTGAGCACATTTTTTTTTTATTGTAAGTCATCTTTGGTACAGCAAGAAAAGCTCTCTCTTCCATAGCGAGAATGAAAACCAATACAATTTTACGAAAACACCACCATGGTAACAAAAAAAAAAAAAAAAAAAAAAAAAAAAAAAAAAATGCATATATACACATATTGTATACATATATATTCAAAGAGAGAGAGAGAGAGGAAGAGAGAAAGAGGGAGAGAAAGAATGGGAATGTCTCTGGACAAATCTTGAGTGGTCCCTTGTGTTGTTATGCTATTGTTGATACTTAAGCATATTATTTGAAATGAGGTGTTAGTTTTTTCCCCAATTCGTCTTATGCCTGGCAGCGCATTCAACAGCCAACCAGCGTTTATGACGAGCAATAACGTCGTCAGCAAAGGCAGCTGCAAAGTGTGCTTCTTGTGTTTAGATGTCAATGCATGTTATTGTGAAACTGAGGAAACATATTGACATTGTACCCCATGCGAAAGCCATGGAGCCATATAGCAAACTACATTTACTATAGTTATAATGAAATGTTTTTAGTTATAAAAAACATTATTATTACTATTTCTAAAACATACGGTGTATTATGTTGGCGGTTTCATGTCTTCAATGATAAAAGGATAATTATGACTATCGTGAGATATGCACAATACGTTCTATATATTGCCTAACCAGTGGGCTCTCCCCCTGGACCCCCGTGGTGTTATATGCACCTAGCATATAATACCATATAATATCTGCCTCCTCCTTTACCTAGCGAAACACAAAATTTTTCTTTGCTTCTGTCTATGGTCTGAATTACTTAATTTCATTTGAGGTGTTTGATGGGCTTAGATATCAAGCTGTGATCGATACTAACGTCTATTTCTTCTGTATGGCCACAATATTGCTTTAAAATAATCCGGTTTTGACGAACACTTATACGAAGACATTCCTCGCCGGCGTTTGTCACGGATTTTACTCAAGGCCTTGGTTCTAGTCTTGTCTCTTTCCGTCCTTGACCCTGTATATGTGTTTCTTTGTCTCCTCCTATCCTCAATTTTAGGTTGTTTACTTTGTTTCAAAATTATTGATTACTTGTTTCATTATTTTTGGCCAGCTCTCTCAAGGAGCATGAATAGGACAGTGAAGTGTCCCTTCTGTCCACTAGCTTCCACTAGCTACCTGTTTCCCTCCCCTGCTAGGGTCCAGCTCAGCTGATATACCGATTGCCTGACCAAGGGTTGATTTGATATAAGATTGAGAGCATTTCACTTCTACTCATGTGTACAGGTATTCAGCTCATATCATGTAATGATATGAGTTTGGTGAAGAGGAAACGTACATGATGTATATACTGTGCACCATAATTTTCCTAAGGTATTGTGGCTTCGTATGATAACGCTTCTTGTGCTATTAATATATTTAATGTGTTCTGAGCATATTTTATTATCTAAATGAATAATGGTATTACATTTAGATATTATCCTATAACATTGTTATGATAAGTACTTTACCAATTCAAGGAAATGAACAATTGCACAGTCATTTATCTACTCATCTGCCACGCCGGCGTATAGCTTGGGCGTGGAAAAGTATTAAAACATTTGATATGCAGTCATGTGATACATTCCAAATTTAGGATACAACATAATTATATCTTCTAGGACATCAGATGATATGAAGTAGTTACATAGTTCTCCGTACCTCATGCTAGGTGGTCTGAAAGGCTGTAGCACATGGCACTCTGAGATATAATGTACAAGTGTTCGCTTATATTTTTCATTACACAGTTTACACTTAGTTTCTTCGACATTACAAGCTGTACTGACCTGCCAATACATTCTATATCCAAGCCTGATTCTTGCAGTCACAACATCACATTGTCTTGTTCTTGTTTTATATAAACCATGTCAGAGTGCTTTATGCTACAGCTTTCGGGGCGTTGAGAATTAATTAATTCAGTCAAGTCCTCTTTGAAGGAAGCTTTAATGGTGTATAAAATGCTAGAAAGAGGTAACCCAAGATCTATATCTACACTTTGTTTGTCACATGCTGACTTAGCTAGGCGATCAGCATGATCATGCCTAGGGATTCCAACATGCGATGGGATCCACACAAAACGTATATTATGGTCTCGTTCTTTTGCACGATACACGTTTATCCTGATGTCATTTGCAATATTTCCCGCAACTTTGTCTAGAGTGTTCAGAGCCTGGAGAGCACTCCGTGAATCACAGAAAATGACCCGAGCCTTGATTCAATAGAAATTCGGTGGCCATGAGTATTCCTGCCAACTCAGTCTGTGAAGTGCTAGCCCAGTCATGAACCCTCCTACAATCCTGGTGCTGCAAAATGCTGTTTTTATATACAACAAAAGCGCATCCTGCTCTGCTCCCAGATTGCAAGGATCCGTCAGTGTAGCATTCATATGCATTGGGCAGAGTTTCTAGATGCTCACTTATAATTGCAAGTGCATACTGCTTAAGTATAGCAGGGGGGGCAGTTGTATAATATACACTTAGGTCAGACATTTTCCACGGTGGTACTGAACGTCCATGTAGGGTCTTAGTTATGGGTATGTTCAGCCGAGCTAAGTGTTTACATGTTACTTGTACCCATGGATTTGAATATGAATCGGTGTTGTCATTCAAAGTTAGCTCTTCTATTCTGTGTTTTAGTTGTCTTTGGAACTCTGTACAGTGGGGGGGTTCTCTAATAGATTTGACACTGAATGTGGTATTTATGTATAATATTCTTTCATAAAGAGAAGGCAAATTAATTAATCCTTGTTGTTCTAGGGGCACCAAGAATGATCCTCATGGCTTCATTTTGTACACTTTCTAAACTAGTCAACTCTGATTCCTTGAACAATACTAGGTGTAATGCATGGTAATCTATGACCGACCTTATGTATGACAAGTAAAAGAGTCTCGCAATATTGACATTAACACCATAGTCTTTGCCGACAAGTGTTCTGAGTGGCTTCAGCCGCTCCCATAGCCTTTTCTTCAGGTTTCTGATGAATTCTGAATCATTAACAATCACCCCGAGGTATCTGTATTGGTGGCAGAGATCTAGCTCAATGCCACCAATATGAAACCTTGGCAGAGGGATTGTCTTTGGGTTAAGTGCCTTGTTTTTTTTTCAGTTGAGATTGTTAAACCACACTCAGTAGCCCTTGCAGAAAGTATATCAAGAATCTCTTGCATTCTCTCGTCAGATGAGGATTTAATGCAGATGTCATCGGCATAGCAAATAATGGAGTCATTGCCTGCAAATAGTATATCGCCCAGTAATCTATGTATTAGGATATTAAATAGCATGGGACTAAGTACGCCTCCGTGAGGTGTGCCGAGTTCAAATACATTTGTATGAGTGCTCTTAATGCCCCTGAAGAGAACCTGAGACGATCGATTTCATAGATACATTTGAATCCATGTTAACAGTTTTCCCTGAATACCAAAGCTAGCTAGTTGCTCAAGGATAATTTCCTTGTTTGCAATATCAAAGGCAGATTTAAGATCAAAGAATACGGTTTGCATGCCTGGGTTTGAGTTTGTTAAGTACTCTGCAAAGCAGTGCTGACTACTACGCCCTGGGAGAAATCCAAACAGTCTGGGGGATAACTTTGCATTTATGCGATACATGAGCCTGCTCAGAATTATTCTCTCAAGTACTTTGCACAGACAGGAGGTCAGGGAATGGGTCTGTATTTGTCAGTATTGGGTTTGGATATAGGAATGATTAAGCTTTTAGTCCAGGAGCTTGGGAGGATTCCTTGTGATAGGCTGAGTCTACACAGGTGTAAAAGTGGGTTGCCTGGCACCTGAGCAATGTGGCGAAGGACGCTGTAAGTAATGCCGTCCTCGCCTGGGGCGGTTGCCTTACCTTTCAGAAGGGCATTGCTCAGTTCCCACTCGGTTATTTCGACAAAGTCGGAGGGGTCAATGGCAGCACAGGCTATTGCTATATTAAAATTTCTATCTATTTTCGACTTGTTGAGCTGATTTATTATCCCTTGTGGAAGTGAGTGTAACTGAGAATTTCCAGCTCACTGCTCTAACAGCATGTTAGCCTGTTCTTGTGGACTGTGGAACTGCGGTGTTGTGGGAGCTTTACCTGTTAGCCTATTAATTTTTCTCCATACGTCAGCTACAGAAGCTTGACTATAGATACTTTACTACGAATCTGAATTTTTAATTCTCTGAATTCCTTGTTTTCTTTCAGA